AACTTCCGGTGGACGCGGAGCAAGATGGCAGCATAAGTTTGAGCTCCCTTGTCGAAGGAAAAAAGAAACCTCCCTAATCCAAGGAAATCATCCATCCATCCATCCATCCATTATCAATACCGCTTATTCCCTCATGGGGTCGCGGGGGGAACTGGAGCCTATCCCAGTGGTCAACGGGCGAGAGGCAGGGTACACCCTGGACGGTCCGCCAGTCCATCGCAGGGCCACACACAGGACATACAAGGACAAACAACCACTCACACTCACATTCACTCCTAAGGGCAATTTCCCCAATCTCCAATCAGCCTAACATGCAGGTTTTTGGACTGTGGGAGGAAGCCGGAGAACTCGGAGAGAACCCACGCAGACACAGGGAGAACATGCAAACTCCACCCAGAAAGGTCCTGGTTCCCCCAGGATTCGAACCCAGAACCCTCTTGCTGGGAGGCGACAGTGCTAACCACCACACCACCGTGGCGCCCTTCCAAGGAAATCAGTCAAAACTAAATTTTAACCAGACACGAAATGAGTGGAGGACGTAAGCAGAGAAGTATAAGGAAGAAAATGGCAGAAGACTACAACCCCGACGTTGAAGAAATGGAAGAAGAAAGTGGCGACTCGAGTCAGCTACAAGCCGTGTTGGAGGGGCTCCACAACATCACGGCGGAAATCCGAGACTTTAAAAAGGAGGTGAAGGAGAACCTCACACAATTCAAAGACGAATTCAAAGAGGAGGTGAAGCAAGAATTTATGGGCTTTAAAGAAGAAATTAAGAAAAAAGTGGCACAGAATGATGCAGAAATACAGAAACAACAAGCGGACATGACCGAGGCACAGAGTCGCATCGCAGAGCTGGAAGAGAGCAACACGGAGGCGAAGGATGCCATTCTGAACCTCTTAAAACAGCAGAGAAAACTACAAGAGAAGTTAACGGAATTGGAAGGACATGGCAGACGCTGTAACATGAGAATTTACAATGTGGCTGAACAAGAAGGTGAATCAGTCCAAGAAAAGGTGGAGAAGCTGCTGCACCGTGAGTTAGCCCTGCCGGCCGGAACCGAGCTGCAGATCCAGCGGGCTCACAGAAGCCTCGGAAAGAGACCGCCACCCGAAGCTAACCCCAGGTCCATAGTGGTTAACTTTCTTAAATACAAAACCAAAGAAGAAATCCTGACAAAAGCATGGAAAAAGAAAATCCAAGTCGAGGGGAAGCGGATATTTTTCGACCATGATTACCCCACTGAGGTAATAGAAAAACGCAAATCCTACTCCGCAATTAAAAAAGTTCTGAAAGACCGAAAGATCCGCTTCCAGACGCCAATGGCTAAAATACGGATTCACTGGCCAGACGGGATCAAGATTTACAACAACGCGGAGGATGCTGCAATAGACATGAGGAGAAGAGGGCTGGAGACGGAGGACCAGAATGACAGCGGACCTTCGCCCGAGGGGAGGAACCAGACGGCGGCATCCTGGCAGCGCGTCGGGAAGAAACATGCGACGGAGGACGGGACCCCCGCTGCGGGCTCTGGCCAGAACGCGAGCAGCCGAGCGAGGGAACGGCTGCAGGAATTCCAAAGAGGAGGACACTGAAAACGCGGAGGTAAAGGGGGCATAAACTGCTCATTAAAGAAGGGGGATGGAAGAGACTATAGTCTTCTCTGAAGTTTGAATAAATAACGACAGGGAGATCCACCAAACAAGGAACTGTTGGACTCACCTAGCAGGTCGGGGGAACCCAACACAGGTTTGCCCAAAACCACTAGGGGGGGGGGCCCTCTTCATAAAAGGATACCCCCCACCCTTTCCAGCAGGGGGACAGGGCCTCTTGGGAATATGGCCCATATTTAGTCGGGAGTTCAGATTTGTTGTTAGTTTATTTTGTGTTCATAGTTCAAGTGGAGAGGCTGAAATTCAAACCAAGATTTACAAACAATGTCTGAGGTTATAACTGTTGTATCACTGAATGTCAATGGTTTAAATAATATCAAAAAGAGAGATAAGGTCCTAAATAAATTTAGAAAAGAAAAAGCACAAGTTATTCTCCTACAGGAGACACACCTAACAAAAAAAGGGCATGAAAAGTACAAAAAATTAGGGTATAGAAACTCATTTTCCTCCTCATTTGGAGAAAGGCATAAGCGAGGAGTTATGACACTGATTTCAAATAATGTAAAGTTTGAATTGTTGGAGGAGATTGGGGATAAAGAAGGAAGATACTTAATGATAAAGGGCAAATTGGAAAACCAGTTAACCACACTACTCAATGTATATGCCCCTCCAGAAAGTGACAAAGTACTTTTTAGGAAAATATTTGATCTCATTAACCTGGAAGCAGAGGGAATATTGATATGTGGCGGGGACTTTAATGTGGTGTTAAACTATAGGAAGGATACTACAAGCGAGAAAAATAATAAAAAACAAATTAGTAGGTACATGAACACTATGATGTCAGAAATGGCAATTGTAGATGTGTGGAGAGAATTTCACCCCTCAGAGCAAGATTATACTCACTACTCAATACCACACGGTACTTACTCCAGAATTGACTATATACTAACGAACAAGAGAGAACTACACAGAGTGAAGGAGTGTAGGATTGGAGTTTCAGACGTTTCCGATCATAACGCAATCTATCTTAAGATCCATTTGGACAGCAAAAAGAACAATACTCTGTGGAGACTAAATGAAGGCATATTAAATAACAAGGCATTAGTTGGGGAAGTAAAAAAGGAGATAATCCGGTATAAAGAGGAAAACGATAATGGTGAAGTGGATCCAGTAATTCTTTGGGATGCTCTGAAGGCAGTAATAAGGGGGAAAATGATTTCTTACACAGCATTTAGGAAAAAAGCAAGATTAGAAATATACAATAAACAAATAAGAAAGCTCAGAGATTTAGAACAACAACATAAACAAACAAATGACCCAGACGTATTTAACCTGATTAAAGAAACCAGGAAAGAAATGGATGAGAGTTTATGGGAGGAGGTAGAAAAGAAGGCTAGATTTACTAAACAAACGTACTATGAGGGAGGACCGAAAGCTACAAAAAACCTGGCTAGACGCGTTAAGAAACAACAAACATTAAGTAGCATACATAAAATAAGAGATCCACTATCCAATACAATCTTATATGAACAAGAAGAAATACAAAGAACATTTGAGCAATATTACAAAACTCTATATGCACAGCCACCATCGGCAGGGGAAGAGGAGGTGAGTAATTTTCTGGAAAAATTAGATTTACCAGCAATAGGCACAAAACAAAATGAGACACTGACCTCTCAAATTACAGAGGAGGAGATTACAAAGGCAATTGGCAGGACCAAAACAGGAAAGTCACCAGGGTCAGACGGTTTAGGGGCTTCTTTCTATAAAACCTTCAAAGAACAGTTAACACCACTGTTATATGACTCGTTTAATTATAGTCTCAGGACTGGCAAGATGCCTCCCTCTTGGAAAGAAGCCATTATTTCCGTAATCCCAAAAGAAGGCAAAGATCAAGAATACTGCCACAACTACAGACCGATATCGGTACTAAATGTTGACTATAAACTGTTTTCCTCTATCATAGCTAAAAGAATGGAAAATTTAATGCAGGATTTAATTGATGAGGATCAAACTGGTTTTATAAAGGAAAGACAAACACAAGACAATATAAGGAGAACACTTCATATCATAGACCATCTGCAAAGAGGAGGGGAACGGGCAGTTCTGATAAGTGTAGATGCGGAAAAAGCCTTCGACAGTGTTAACTGGAACTTTTTGTATAAGGTATTAGAAAAATTTGGATTTAACGAAACATTTGTAAATTGTATTAAATCAATTTATCAAGACCCAACTGCAAGGATTAAAATAAATGGCAACCTGTCAGGAAGCTTTACTCTGGAGAGAGGAACAAGGCAGGGATGCTGCCTCTCACCGAGTCTTTTTGCTCTGTTTATAGAGCCACTAGCTCAGATGATTAGGCAGGAAGAGGAAATGAAAGGAGTGGAAATAGGAGGGGAAGAACATAGAATTGGGCTGTTTGCAGATGACATTTTGATTTATCTAAAAAACCCAAATGAAATGTTTCTAAAAACAGTAGGTTTGCTTGAGGAGTATGGGAAATTCTCTGGATACAAAATTAACGTGGAAAAAACACAGGTCCTAACAATAAACTACTCCCCACAACAGAAAATAAGGGATACTTATAAACTTAAGTGGAATGAAAAATCTATAAAATATTTGGGGGTGAACATAACCAAAACAATTGACAAACTCTACGATGCAAATTATTTAGAAATAAACCACAATATTAAGAAAGACCTGGGGAGATGGATGGACATTGGCTTAGATCTTAGCTCTAGAGTTGAGATAATTAAAATAAACATTTTGCCACGACTGCTATACCTGTTTCAGTCCTTACCACTGATTATCCCACAAAAACAATTTGTAGAATGGGACAGATGGATTTCGAGGTTTATATGGAACGGCAAGAAACCTAGAGTTAGATATAAAACACTTCAGCTCCCAAAAGATAAAGGAGGCCTGGGTTTACCAGCCCTGAGAGAATATTTCTGGGCAGCACAAATTAGACCCCTGGTATGTTGGTGCAATGATGACTATGTTTCAAAATGGAAAAATATGGAAATAAGTAGAAAAGACATAGAAGTTAAAAATCTAATAGCACATAAAACACCCTTAGGCAAACTAAGCAATAAGCTAGATTCAATAACTAAAACTACGATTGAAATATGGAACACAGTGATTGATAATTACAATTTAGAGAAAGAAACAAAGAGCCTGAGCTGGTTTGCTTGGGACCCAAGGTTTAAGCCAGGTATTTATGATGCAGGTTTCAAACAATGGGCAGATAAAGGTGCCACAGCAATGTGTAAACTGACTAAAAAGGGCAATCTGTTGAGCTTTAATAGCTTAAAGGGAAAATATGGACTGGACGATCAAGACCAGTATAGATACCTGCAAATAAAACATTATTATGAGAAAGAGATAAAAACCAATGCAAGTGAAATAATCAAGATATTTCATAAGGCCTATGAGGGGAATAAATTGCGGGTTATTTCAACACTATACCAGGGGATGATGGCAGGTAGGAAGACATCTACTATGTACATCAAAGGGAAATGGGAGGACGAATTGAAGGAGCACATAAGCGAGGAGGAATGGTTTAAAATTTGTAAAATGCAGTGCACGGCCACCTGCTCCCGTGTGTGGAGGGAATTTAATTGGAAAAATATTATTAGATTTTTTATAACACCAAAGATCAAATCCGGGATGATATCCAGCCCACAACCATGCTGGAGACTCTGTGGCCAGACTGATGTAGGCCACACTCACATATTCTGGTCCTGTCAAAAGCTAACCACATACTGGCATAATGTTAGCCTTACCCTGAAAAAAATATTGGGATACGGAATACCCAGATCTTGTAAAACACTCTACCTGGGATGCCTCACACACGATGTAATTCAAAAAGAAGATGAATATCTGTTGAAAATATTACTTTCTGCATCAAGGAAAACCATCACAAAACTATGGTATAGACATGACCCTCCTGCAGTGGAGCAGTGGATGAACATTGTGGAAGAGATTTTCGTAATGGAGAAAATCACACATAGACTAAGACTGCAAGAGGACAAGTTTGAGGTTAGATGGGAAAAATGGAGCGAATACAGACGCAAGGAGAATGACACTCTGATACCCACTTAAATATGGACACGTTTCGTGTATGGATACATTGTGTATAAAGTTGAATGTATTATAATGCCTCTCCACTGTATGTGTTCAAAAATGTTCAATAAAAAATAAGTATAAAAAAAAAAAAAAAACAGCTTCACCAACATTTTAACAGATTTTGATATCAGAGGTTTTAGCGTCTTTAGCTGGACCAACATTGAAATAAGGGAAGAGTTTTTCAGTGAAAGTGTCTCTGTGAGTGTAGATGTGAGTCATGTCTTCAGAGTTGTAGAAGGACACCTCCCCCATGTCATAGTCCAGCTGGACTCTGATCCTCTGGAGACTCTTCTTCACTGTCACAGTCTTACCAGCACCATTGGTATATTTCCCATTATCATGCAATAAAAACCAAACTCCATATTCTGGTGAAGCAGATCGCTTTCCCTTCCTGTTAACTGACTCTTTAACCAAACCCACATTCCAGCGAGGATGATCTCCCACCTCCACCTCCCAGCTGTGTGTCCCTGAGCTGAAGCCCTCAGAGCCAAACACAGTGTTGTAGTTAATGTTTCTCTCTGGGTTTTCAGGAAGCTTCTGCTTTGTGTCTCCACATCTCACGCTGGTCAGATCATCAGACAGATAGAGAAAGCCGTTTGCCG